GAAACAAGACTTCAAGACCACGGCCACACAGCCCGGAAGACCCACACCAGCCATCAAATAATATGTTCATTTATTTATCTATCAGATGTATATTTCACCACAATTATGCAGATTCTCAGCATACATAAAAAACTGAAGAAGCCAGGCACGGTGGTTCCAGAAAGAATGGAGACCCGTAAGCTAAAAGATGAGTCTTGATTAATACAATTCAGGGTTTTTAATGATGGGAGTTCTTTACCAACCTGCCTGGCTCATATCCACTGGTACTGGTGGACAAGAGAAAGATGTTGCCTGTGATCTCTAGAAAAAAAATTGTAGTTACTTTCAACATGACCCCAACCAAGAAAGTTTCAACTCTGCAGAATTCAGCTTTATTTACATATTCAATATTTAAAAAGCATAATTACAACACACTTTGTTTTATCCAATTTTTAAATGTGCAGACTAAAAAAATCATGGTTCCTGTACACTACAAATAAAACCTGAAAAAAGTTCACCTTACTTAGGACAGGAGTGACTGCATTTATTTATAATATATACATCCACACCTATCAATTCGATTAAATATTCCTTTTTCAGACATTGTCAATGCCATTTACAAATCATCGAGAGAGACTGCCCCTCTGAGAGGCAAGTGACTGACTACACAATTCTAAACATTTATTTGGAAGCAGGTCCATCTTGCCAGTTTGAAAAGAACAGACTTCCAAGTTACTCAGACTCAAAAGCCAGAGTTGGCTCAGGTGCCCTAGGGATGCTCCATGCGCCCTTTCCCAAGCTGCCCCAATTCACAAAAGACTAACATTTTGAAAAGTTTCCTCCCACGGCAGGGGAGGCTTAGAAAAGTAATGTTCTAAAAGACACAGAAAGCAGTGACCAACTTGCCATGCTGCCTAATGTGCAGCTTGAACCTAACATTTGTGTTCATGCAAAGAAAAGATTTCAGCAAAAAGATACTCCAGCAAGGTATTCAAGGGCATGACCAGGACTTAACGTGACTCTTCTCTAGTCCTCTTCCTGCTCCTCATGCTCCTAGTCTTTGCATTATGATTCTAAGGGTAGTTGGAAAAGAAGAGTCTTCAAACGTTTTAGGGAATTTGTTCTTTACCATATTCAAATATTCTTGAACTCTGCAATATTATACCCCAGCTTTCTCCAATCTGTTTGCTTTTAATTTTCATAATTTCTAGTTAGCATCAGAATTTGGCCATATTGTCTGGGATTACGTGAAGTAACACCTGACAAATTTGGAAGACACCAGATTGAGGGAGCGTGGCATTCCCTGCTCACCAGTACTTTCTAGCATGCTTTGGTATTTACAAATCTTGTCATTCCACCTTGACTTCTGCAGGTATCAGAAGCCATCATCCAAGGCCTTCACTTGACTATCCAGGGATGTGCATTAAAAAAAAAAAAGGCAAGGACATGATATGTAAATTGTCCTTAGCATGAATTTTCCAAGCACCAGAAAAAACAAGCCTGACCCTTTTTGTGAGAGACAAAATTTTACTAATTTACAAAAATAAGTTGCTTGTTGAAGCTTAGACCTAAAAGCCAATTTTTACAACTTTTAAAAGCTAGCTCTTTGTTCTAATTGATTGTTTTGCTTTGGGGGAATTACAGAAGTTTTACAACACACTCAAAGCCAAGTACATATTAGGATTTCCAATTACATATACACAAGTTCACGTGCGCCCCCCCCAACATACATACATGCACACAGTTATGCCCTCAGTCACCCCCTCCCAAGACAAATAAATATGGGAATAAATGGGACACCCAAAATTAGTATGACAAGCAGGCCCAGAGTAGATACAATACTCCAAATATTGGCCCTTTTTTCTGAATCGTGAAATAACTTGGAAATGTTTTTTGAGAATCTAATGTTGTGTTCTTGTCACATGTAGGGCAAAATCATACTTTGCCCTATTCTTTTCTCTTGGCTCTAGTTGGGTTAAAACCACCCAATATTGAAATAGTTTATGACCACTGCATCAGTTACAATCAGCACCCTGCTGCTGAGACATGGTTCCCAATGCCTCCAACTGCTTTCAGACTGAGGGGCTTCAGAGAATCTAGGGGGAAGGGAGAGAAGATGAATCTCTGCCCGGCCTGACCCTGTGAAAGGATACAAAGGGAAGACATGTGACAACATGCTACAACTTACTAGCTCTTACTGTTTTACACTGAACTCTGGACATTCCTAGTTAATTCAACCATTTATGCCTCAACAAGCCTCTTAAAAATCAAAATATTACCAGCTTTGCATCGCTACACCAGGAATGACACTGGAATGTTTAATGGATATTAGAAGAAAGCAAATAGACCAGACAATTGGCACTTTGTGCTCCCAACTGAACTACCATAACATAGGAAACTATTCTTCACTAGTCCTAAACCTGGTGAGATCTCAATCTTTTTTTATTTATGCTTTTCTTTTCTCATACATTTATTAGAAAACCAGAAAGTATATTCACTCTCTTCGGACAAACGCACTTGGTGCAGAAGGCAGCTCACATGTGAGGAATTACCTCCACTTTGTCATTTTGGGATCCCGTGTCCTTTTCAGAAGTAAATTATTTCTGCTATTTTTGTTGCATAAATCTATCTTCCCCCATCCTGACCCTGGTCTCTTGCCCCAACTGTGTAGGAATAGTTCTCATTGTGTTTTGATTTAATGGCCAGGCATGCTCATGTAAGTCCAAGTCTCACTGTTCTTCTACAGCACACACCTTAAAAAGAAAAAAAAAAGCTCTTGCCCACTTTCTTCTATTTCCCATCTGTTTTCAATGCTTTAGCGTTATGAAAAGAGAGGGATGTATAGAGACATTCCCAGTCTTTCTGCTCTAGAAAGAAGGCAGAAGAGATGAAGCCTAAATAGCTTGGAAAGAAGCAAGATAGTGCTCTCTCGGCATAGTCACCTCAGACCTTGTGAAATGCTTTGGGAACAGATCAGGGCCGGATTAATTCTCCCTTACTAGTCCCTGCAACCTCCCCATATTGCAGCCCTCATGAGGGGCCTTATTACAGAATGCAAACCTTCTTTCCAAATTGCAGATAGCACAGATGGCTTCCTTTCATTCAGAGCTGCGTTCTCTTTTCCGTACCCAGGTTAGAGCACTCACATGTTTTTAGCTTCCCTTTGCTCACTTTGCTCAAGGAAGAAAGCAGTTTTAAGAAAATCAAATGGACACCCGAAATTGATGTGCATACTAGGCCTTCCCACCATCAGCAGGGTCCAGTCAAATAAAAAAAAAAATGGCCAAGTTTTTTGGCTCCTGTCCAAGACTTGCTTTCTTGTATAAGCTAAGGGCCTCTGTCTTACCTGGGCAACCCAGAAACATGATTACAAACTCACAAGAGCATAGTGGACATATCACAGACTTTTGCTGAAAGTTTCAGCTACTAATAGTGCAAGAGAAAGAGCAAGTTGCTCCAGTTTCAGTACCCAGGAGAAGACAGTTTAGGAGGCAAAAAGCAAACGTCAGCTACAGCAGGAGAGAAAGTATGAAGATGTAGTACAGAGACAACATAAACAATTAAGCCCAACAACATGAATTATGCCCAAATCTGACATCAGGATAGACCAATACCCACAGCGGTATTTTTTATGATCCTTATAAAATAGGAGAGGAGAGCCCTCAGAAAATGATTCCTGAAGCTGCATGATATTATTAAGAGGCTTTGCCATATGGAGCAAATAGCGCTCCATATGGATCTCTTTGCTTCACCTTTTTGTATGTGGGGGGGGGGGGGGGGAACAAACTAAAAAGGTTTTGAGACTTCATGATTAAAACAGGAGTGAGAAAGGGAGGATTTCAAATCCATATTTGCCACACACTGCCAGCAGCAAACTCCTGCTATGACATGATTATTTTTTAGAACAAGTTCATTCATTCTTTTTCCAAAGTCTGAAAAAAACAAAACCACACTGAATAGAAAGAAATGCTTTTTCGTTTTTGGCAACCCCCCTCACAATGCTGCAAACCAAGGCAACTGAAGAGCAGCTAAACTACTCTCATGACAGAATACAACAAACCTTCTCCTCATTTCCACAAAAAAGAGAGACTGAGAAAAAGGGTTGCTTTTGCTGCATTTTGAAAACAACTTAGATTAATGGAAAAGTAAAGCAGAATGCAACTCAAAAAGATGTAAAAGCAGGAGTGAAAAAGGAAATACTGGCCACGTTTGTGCTACCATGGACAACCAACAAGTTCAGGGGCATCTGGCAATCACAGACTCAGGCTATAGATTGGGGCTCTTGCATGGCCAAATTTTAACTGATGAAACCCACCCCAGTGGTTCCTTCCATTAGCAAGTATTGCTTGGCATGCAGTACCCTTTTCTATAGCATTTCCCCTCCATGGGACTTATATACAGACCTCAGCTGCTCCTTGAGACTGAACAGTCACACAAGTGGAGGGGGAAAATTCCATGTGAACAGTTCACATTGTCCAGCCATGAATAAGCCCTCGCTAAATATCATAGCGACTGGAGCTATACAATGCTGGATAGTTCTGCCGGGAATACTGGAAGTGATCTACGAGGACATTGCCTCTGCTACCATACTGGAAATCTCCATGCTGTGCAAAGGAGGCAAGTCCATTCTGAGACTTTTCAGGGGTACTCCAGCGCCGATCCAGGTTTGCTAGATCTCCCGTCGTGATGGGAAGGAGCTGTTTCTTTGCTTCCTGGTTTGCATCATACTTGGTCTGTAGGATAATTACACTATCAGCTTCAGAAATCAACATTTCTACTAAAGCACAAGTATCCTAAAGACAAGAGATACATTAACTATCTTGAGAAACATTAACTGATAAACATTATCTGTTAAATTGCTCTTTCCACTTATTTATGAGAAAGCACCAACTGCTCCCACTGATGATTGATAGGATTAAAAGTCACCTCAGAATGTAGAGGATTGAGAGGGGAGCCCATTTTGGAGGAGAGTATAGTGGGCTTCCATCTATGCAAAAAGAAGGGGCTATGTCTGAGGAGCAACATGGAAGTATTGCCTTTAGACACTTGGAACTTGGAGCAAATAAGGAGTCATAACTGGGCAAGACAGAGGAATCTCTAGCCTGATTGGTCAGCTCATCTGACCTGTAGTCTGAAATGAAGCCCCTCCCCACTATTAGGTCATAAACTGATCTTGTCAATAGTCCTGCAAGGGAATGAGCCAGACTTTGGCTGGATGGGACCAGTGAAGCCAACTGGGTATGACCATATCACATTCACATACAGAGGTAGGATTCTTTTCTCTTTTCTTTTGTTGTTTTTGAGAGGAAGGCAGGGTTCTTTGCATTTTTCTGTCAGTACTGAAGTGTGACTTTAGTTATATTAATTGAGTTGTTCCAGTGTGGTGGAGAGCTAAGATTACAGGCCACCAACGAAGCACTCAAAGCACATCTGGCTTACAGTGTCAAAGTTTCTTTGGATATTTTGAAACAACACATCACCTCTTCCACATTAAATTCTACTACCAGCCTCAGATAAGAGGGCAGAACTTTAACCATTCATTCATGGACTGTTGCAGGCCATTTTAGCTTTCAGGATTGGGGGACTATATTTCATTTGAACATTTTATGTATACTCATCTTTTATAACAATAGTTACTCTTGAGTAATTTTTCTACGGTATTTAAATTGTTTTACATTTATACTGCAGCTCATGAGGAATCAACTTGATTCTTGGCTTGTCTTTACAATATTTGTCAGGATTTATTAACTTTGTTTTTGTTTTCTTTCTAAAAGTTTAAGGCATACATTGTAAGTTTTCCATCTCAAAAGTGCAGAAAACCATGTTGTTGATTTTGGCATTTGTGCCATTGAAATTTGGCAATGCATGTTGAAGGACTACAAAAAAGAATACATGGACCACTTGTGGCTCTGTAGCCTTACACAGCCAATACTTAGACTAGAGCTGAGTAGTACTAATATGAGAAATCAGGAGATAAGAATCCACAAAGACAGACATATACCCCCTTCCCAAGTCATTAATGAAACTCAAAAGTTAACTTACAGTCATTCTGTTCGCTCTTGAGGAAACGGAAAATGAATCCTGAGCTAGCCCCACCATTTAAAAGTTAAAATTCAGGTATGGCTGAATTTCAGCTGAGTTCCAACTAAAGCTCAGAGAAAGCTTCAACCACCTTCATTTGTCTGCCCCAGGCTAAAGGAAGACTTTCCATAAGCTACATACCTTGTTGTACAAAAACACTCCCAGGATAGCAGTCATCATGCCCAGAACATTGGTGGTGGTGACAGGGTTGCGAAGCATGATCAGGGAGACACTAATGACAGTGATCCTTTTTGTGGCATTTGCAACAGAGTAACTCAGAGGGCTGATAAGGTTCAGGATGCTGAAGGCGATGACATTCTGGGCAAAGTTGCAGAAGCCACTGATGGCCAAGAGAAGGATGGTCCACGGCCAATGGGCCATTGAACTCTGTGGGAGAAACAGTCTGTGAAGCATCAGCTTGCTTAAAGGGACAGAAGCAGCTACAACTGACTGACCCTTCCCAAACAGAAGCTGGAGCCCAAACGTCTAAATCCAGTGGGTCCTGCTTCTTTATGAACAAGCAGAGAGCAAGGAACATAGTCACAGTTGATTGAGGCAACCATCCTAAACCTCCCTCTATTTTCCCGTCCCTTTAATTAAATATCAAAACTCTAAAAATATTGGTTAAGTATAACTTATTTTTTCTCTAATCAAGTGCAAGGATTTCTAGCTTCCAGTTCTGAACATTGTTTTCAGAAAATCAAGTTTTATAAATTGAAAGTTTTATATATTAATTTATGTATAGTTTATTGAAAAGTCAAAGTTCTGCTGTACAAAGACCTTGCCACAATTCTGCAGGAATACAAAACATGCTTCTCATATTCCTTCCTTTAAACAAAATACACAAAGGTGCTTCTAAATTTGGTAGCTTGTGAAGATACTTTTCTAATATCTAATCCTAAATGGTTGGGGATTTTTTGCAAGCAATAACAATTTATTACAAAACCTATAGCATTTAAATAAATATCACTGCATAATTATATTTGAATATTGGGATTCTAGCATTTAATAGCAGCGTGGATTGGCTGTGAATGTTATTTTAACATCTTAATGTTTTTTCCCAAATTTCGTATTTCTTCCAATAAAGTATAGGGATATGAAATTGAGAGCAGCAAAGGAAATAATTGGAGTAGCAAAAGATATGATTTTTAAAGCAACCTATATATATGATTAATAGAATACTGCAATTAACAAATCCAAATAGTTTTGTGCATAAAGCATTTTTTTTAAAAAAATCTGAACTTGAGCAGAAGGAGCTTACATAACAAACTTTAAGACAAAATACGCTTTGCATTCAAAGGCATAAAGATGTTTTGGAGTAGGGATGTGCATGAAGCACCCATCTGCAACTCCAAAATAATTTTTCCCAGTATCATGTTGTTAAAGCACCTTTTTGCCTCTGAATCCAAATCGCTGTATAGCCCCCCATCAATTATTGAGATAAAACTCTTTTTTATATACACTATAATCATTATAATTTATTAATCACCTAATAGAGAATTTCCAATGCTGATATATCCTTAGATAGAAATACCCTCTATTTTTTTAACATTTTTACTCAAAAATTATTTATTAGGAAGAGCATAAGTGAAAGACACATGACAACTGAATCATCAGTTTGAAAGGTGGTCTATTAAACTAAAGCAGTTTTAAGAGGTGAGGTTATGAGAGGTCTGCTTTCATATGATTAAATACACTTTTTCCTATAATATACTGAAATCTTGCTTGGTTACTCTGTGTTACAGGTGGTCCTTGTTTAATGACCACTCATTCACTGACCATTCAAACTTACGAAGGTGCTGAATGAGTGGTAGTTATGATTGGTCCTCATACTTACGTTGGTCACAGCATCCCCACAGTCACGTGATTGCCATTTGCAATCTTCTTTGCCAGCTTCCTATAAGCAAAGTCAATGAGGAAGCCAGCAGGTCACAAATGGCAACCATGTGAAGTCTTCACTTAATGATCTGCAATGATTCACTTAACGATGGCAACCGGGACTACCAGAATTTCCATCACTAAGTGGCGCAGTCACATGAGGTGCTTTATGACTGTGTCGCTTAGCAACAGAAATTCTGAGGACTACCTGTATTAATATCAGATAAATAAGGTAATCCAGCTTTCAAAAAAGGTTGAAAAAAGATAAAAGTTAGTTTTATTATTAAATAACTAGTTCTTTTAGAGTGTTTACTTAATCTATTAGCATACTGTATGTAATTTACCAGACGCAGCCAAGATTCTAAGTGCAAAGAAATGGATAGACTCTAAAGTACTTTAAAGGATGAAATAGTTATTAAGATCTTTCAAGGGTAGCAGAAATTTGTAAACTGGAATAGGCAATGTAGCACCATTCAGATACCATGGTAAACAATTTCCACTGGCTACACTGGGTAGAACTTATTTATTTATGGCCACCCACCTGCTAGGTGACTCTTACATAGCAGTTGTAACCCAAAATATTTGAGGGCATCAGGATTCACACAACAATAAATGAAAAAAAGAGAGAGGGAGAGAAGGCAATATATCATAAAATTTAGTGGGCACCTATTGCTGTAGAAGATATTGACAATTTTAGAAGTTTAAGTTACT